TCCAGGTTTCATTAAAGTCTCAGCCAATTTTGGTCTTTATGTCAAAATTGATTTCAATACTTTCTTTCCGTCAACAAGTATGATTTCACTGCCCTCAGCATCATATTCAATGGGTTGAAGCAAAACCATTTTAGCGGAAGATATTTTTACCATTGTAGTTTGGGCTGAAAACATATCTTCAAGAGAGGTTCTATCTGTATGAGGGAAGATAGCCACTTCTTTTGATATACCTTGATACTCTTCCTTAAAATTTTTCCAGCTAGAATATTTCGAGTCTGATTCACTGGCAATATTATCATAATCAGAACGAACATGAGATTGAATTGTCTCTAGAGCTCGCGAGATATTCTTGAGCGTTGTAATATTAGAATTCCAAGCTTTTATGACAAAGCAACCCTGCTTTCAATTTCATTTTTATATTTTGTTTTGAATGGTAAAATTGATCAAATGTGCAGTAAATTATAGGAAAGCTATTATTATTCATTAACGATTTCTTATCAGTTTTCAAGATACTTAAAACTTTCTTAGTTTCGATTTCAGCCATTTTATTTCACTTATAAATTAAAAACCTATTTATTTCTTCATCCGAAAAGAGATTGTCCGTTGAATTTATGTTATGCGTATCCGACTCTTTTAGTTGTGCAGCTAAAAATCCTAAAATTATTATAGACTCTATAAATTTGATGTTTCCTTTTTCGTTCGTAAGATAATGTAATCCGCCTTTAAATACTAAAATGGCAAAAATTAAAGAAGCATTTGCACTAAAATCCCTTAACGTTAATTAAAATAAGATGTGCAGTAGCATTAATAATGATAGCACAAACAAATCGAATAATTATCGTTACTCCAATCTAAGGTGCCTGTCAACAAAGTAACAAAATATTCATTATTGATGATTTTATAGGATCACATACTTAATTTGTCGGTTTAACCTTTTATAGGCTGTTATTGTATTGTCTAACACTAAGGCATATATATGGTTCAAGCGTGAAATTAGTAGGGGGCTTACAGAATTTTGTAAATAGACTATATACGTAAAGATATAAATTTAGGGGTAGGGCGTTACATTAGAGACAATAGCAATAGATTATCGCTCGTTATAGTCGTGTTCCTGCCATTTTTTATTAGTGCGCCAAGGTCGATTTTGACATTAGTTTTTGAGTATTCTTCTTTCGCACGTGCTTGAAACTTATCAGGAATAGTTAAAATTTGTGCTCTTTGACTATTTCTTTTTGTATTACTCGCGCAAATAAATGCGTGCCTATTTATTCACCATTTCATATGACATGACAGTGACTCGTGTTATTAATCATTTCTATCACATTTATTTGTCTTCGTTTACGTTTTTAAATTATCGGAAAACAAAAAGTAAAAAAGTCAGGGATATAACTAATAAGCCTGAGTGTAAGAAAAAAAAAGAAATAAAATTTGTTGATTAATAACATATAAATCTACGTCAATCGAACTTAGTGAGATGGGGAATAATAATGATTTATTCGTAAAATCACAAATAAAAATGCAAATGGTTTAGTAAAGATGTTACTTAACTTAAGCTAGCTATTTGCTCGGTTTTACGGCTTTTGATGGGCTTTTGTATTTCTGACCAGGGCAAACGTCGAAGCGTATGAATACGTATGTAGAGATGAGCACGCGCGGGATCCGCGCGTAATCCTGCGCGGGATTTTTAATATGATCCCAAAATAAAACTATCTGGCCGGCATTAGCATATCATCTGGCAGCATTAACTTAA